AACGCACTTATACACATACGTACACACGCTTGATACTTTCTTATCTGTTGCTTGTGTGCATTAATATTTCGAGTATGTATATTTTGTATTTTAATATTAGTATTATGTATACTCTAATTTATGAGTTTTCTTTTATGTGCAATGATTTTCACATTTTTATGAGCAAGTCTCATATTACAACTTTGTTGCTTATCATTGCACTTGACATTTAGTGGACTGTATATACTTTTTATTTAATTTATTGTTTACATGTATATTTTTATGTATTAGTGTAGTTGTGTCAAAAATGTGTCAAAAATATAATTTTATATATCTTAAGGTTACAAAACTTTCATGTTCATATCTTTATGAACAATCTATCACTACAAAATAACAATGTTACATTTTGTACTAAATGACAAACCCCGAACTTATTTTTCAACTCGTTCCCCACATACACACATTGATCTAAGCATTTGCAATCCACGTCTTAACATCGCTGCCACTTGGAAAACTTTCGTTGAACCTTCCTATTTCTATATCGCTTTTTGAACACAATTTGAGACAAAATATTATCTGTCACCGTATGTATGTAGGTATAACCTTAAATTTGCTGATTGGTCGTCCTACCAAAAATCTTTACACAATTTTTTAAATTCTTTAACCCTTAACCCTGAAAATAGCAACCAATCGGCAGCAATCATGTTAAAGAAAATTAAACGTGCCATAGACTCGTCTATACCTCTATCCAAATTCAATTTTCTAATTTTCACCGATGCTCTACTTATTGGTGGAACGATCAACTAGTTCAGCTGAGACTTCAAAAAGTTATTTTTGGGAAAATTGCCAAGGGTCACCCCTCTAAAGAAAATATCTTGCCGTATAAGAAAAGTAATGCATTATTTAAAAGAGGAGTTAAAATTTCAAAACGCCATGCTTTCATAGATTTTACCAAAGGCATTCATTATAAAACTACTACTGCAGCTCTTTGGAGCAAAGTTAATATACTCCATGGGCATTTTCCTCCAAGAAATATCTACGTTATTCAAAATTCCACTAATATTGCCGTTTCATCACCTGTTGAAATTGGGAAATTATTAGCCAAAACCTGGTCGGAATACTCTAAAAATAGTAATTTTAACAGCGAATACGTTAGCAAAAAAGTCGTTACATAAATTCAGTTTATATATATGTGACCTGGTCTACGGAAAGGGGGCTTAAGTGTCAAAAAATCAATTTTCACTTTTTAGTTGATTCGGATGGAAGATGAGATGCCTTTTTTTTTTAACAGCTGTTTCCCAGAAAACTAGTTTTCGCACGTTAGGTCCCTTTTCGTAGACCAGGTCACATATTATAACATAAATATTGATATAGGTCTACCTTTTTCTACACTTGAACTAAATTCTTACCTATCTACTTTGAAAGGCAATACACCTGGTCTAGACAATATTCCTTACCCACTTCTAAAAAATATTTCTCCCATTGGTAAAGATAAATTATGCCAATTATAGAATATATTATTCAATAATAGCATAATACTTCAACATTGGAAAACTAGTCTTATTATCCCCATCCTAAACCCAATAAAGACAAAAACACTACAGAAGGCTACCGCCCAATATAACTAATACCTTGTCTTTCAACAGTAATGGAAACAGGAAAAAAAGTTAACTTCGGCTTAATCGAAGCTAATACACCCTTCACAGATGATTTTCTTATAGTAACTATGAGTTCAGTTTGTTTGGAAGCTATATGTATAGTAAGCCGATCTGAAAAATTTCTTCGTATATTACATTATTATTTTAGAAAATAACCTGTGCCAACTTTTGTGAAGATACATTGTCAAATGTGAAAGTTTTTCATACGAGAAGTTGATTCCGATCGTTCAGTCTATATGGCAGCCATATCAGCAGTTACGACAATGGCGCAGCTTCTTGATGAGAAAATGACGTTTGCAAAATAAACGATATCTAAAAATCGATATCTTAAAAACTGTGGGACTAGGTCGTATATATACAGACAGACAGACGGACATGGCTAAATCGTTTCAGCTTGACATTCTGACAATTTATATACATATATATGTACTATATAGGGTCTCCGACGATCTCCTTAAAAAAAATACTATCAAATCGGAAAACAGCCTTTAAACCTGGTCTCAATGAGCAAATTTTGAGTTCAATTTCATGTAAAAATTACTTCTCCATTTTATCGATTGACATTAATTACGTTCGGCATTATCTTCTGAATAGACAAATTCGCGTTATTGAAAACGGTATTTCACAAGGATCTCATTACAGCATTTGACCGGTTAAGTCTCATTCATTTACATCAATTACTTTATGCCGATGATCTTTTTATCTTCGGCACCGTTCGTAACCCTATTAATTTAGATAACCAAAGGAACATTCTTCTAAACTCTATTCTAAGCTAGTGCTACTTTAGTGGCGTCATAACATTATATTAAGTTTTAATAGAAGTAATATAAATAATGCAAATAGTCTCAAAATTGTAGGCATAACCTTTAATCATGAGTAAAAGGTGCATTCGAAAGTAAACAGGACTTAAAGAAAAACAGTACAAATGGTTCTATGCAGAAGGATCACCTTTCACCCTAAAAAGTAGATTGAAAAGAAAGTGGATGCCCAAAAAAGTTTCAGCCTTACAAAAACTAATAAATTCGGCAAAAGAAATGGATGTTCCTATTATCATCCCAGCAATGCCCCGCCTTCGCGCTCCTCCTTGGAATCTAAGCCAATCTTGCGTTATATTGGACTTGGTTAAATATAAAAAAGAAAGACACCACTACGTTTATGTACAACTCTATTTGAAAATTTTAAACCACCACACTAATTGGAACACTCTCTACACTGGTGGTTTAAAGCACAATAATATCGTTGCCTTGAGCCAGAGAACGTCTGTCATAGAGAAGGTTCACGTTTCACATATCGCAACTTTTCGAAGGGGTACTCGGCAGAGATGATCCAGTCCTACAACAGACAAATTATAAGCGTGTTTCACCACAAAAATAGCAGAATTGAGCATTTTCAGTGTTAAATGATATAAGTTAAGGTAATTAGTTTTAAATTTATACATTCACCTTAAAAGTTTTGATATCATCTTAAAAGATCTAGCGGTCGCACATATGCTCATATACATACATAATATATAATTATGTGTGCATGTAAACAAATATGACAGACCATACGCATAATGTTTGTAAATTTGTCTACATGCAACATATGTATGTAAATATGTACACACAATGCTTCATGAGAAATATAAGTTCACACGGACAGCCAATGGCACAGCTCTCTTTTTGTCAAAGAGTTAATGTGGCGACAATGCGTCACAACATTGTATTGTTGGTAGAAAGTCCGAGCTGTGCGAAAAGAAATAAACGAACGGTCGCCGATTGTCTCCGCTTCCCTTACCTCTGTACAGCTTCACATACAAACCAGCAAATATATGTACATATGTTTGTGTGTGAACTTGTATACATATCGACGCAGATTTTTGCAAGCCGCATAAAAATATTTTGTAATCCCGGTTATGTGCCACAATCAAAGATACAGTTGTTCGTGGTTTGTGGAAAAAAAATATAATAAGGCACACAAGCGATTGCGAATACTTAAGCGAGTGGTACTTAAAACAATAATTTATATGTATTTCAAAAAACAAACCGTGAGATGCAGCAAGATATGGGCAGTTAAGAGGGATGATTTTCATTTAAGTGGAGTACTACTTAACCGGGATTCACTGTACACATAAATCAGAGGAATATTAACTATTTTATTTGGCACATTTCTTGACTTGAAAATCGACTAATAAACTATGTTGTTAATTTTATTCTAATATATTTAAATACTCATATTTGCAGGGTTGTCACTTTTTCCTTCTCATACAAATATCAGAAATTGTTCAGTTTAAGATTTTTAGCTTTTGCCATCGTCGCGAAAAGACGCTATTAGGAAAAGGCATGCTCGGGGAGATGTCATGGTGTTTGTTTTTATGAATGAAGCAAGTTGAAAATCGCTTGCGTTCATGAATGAAAATATTGTTGTTGTGTACTTTTCTACAAATTTGTGCATCGACTAATTGTATGCCATATTGACTTACGACGCTCTGATGCTACTTGAATCGATTGTTGTTTTTGTAGAACAATATTTTTAATTTTTGGTGACATATCTATTTGTGAGCGCATTTAAGTATGTATGTTGTGTATGGATTATTTGTGTGGGAATGTCATACGCACA